ATTTTTTGTTTTGTTTTGTTTGTTTACTTATCCCTGTCATTCCCCCCTCACCATACTTATCACCAATTAATAATTTCATCCATTCATCAGATCCACGACTGGCTACACATGCCCACTGAGGATAAATTCGTGTTGAGACACCATGGCGGCGGCGACGACTTCCCGGAATCCATGTTGATCAACGGACTCGGACCCCACCAGGTGAGGCTTCGAAATGTGCCGGTGGAGCGCCGACATAAAACGAAATATTTTAATAGCGCTATATGACCTTTGTTGTCTAGCACGTTTGTTTAGAATATTTTAAATTATGTAGCGAAAAAAGATGTGCGTTATGGGAAGTGTATAACGTAATGAAACCTACACTGTATAGTTCAAATTTTAATTTTATATCCGTGGGCTCTTCAACTTATATTCCTTGCTTAGTATCCTATATATTTTTAGATTTTTTTTCTGGAAATGTATGTTCTTCAGTAAATTGTGTTGGAAATATTTTTGAAAGACAGAAAGATAGGTTAGAGGTAAATCCATAGATGAAGAGATAAATACACAGGCAGAGATATTATATATGATAGCGAGAGAGAGAGGAGAGAAGAGAGAGAGAGAGGAGAGAGAGAGAGAGAGAGAGAGAGAGAGAGAGAGAGAGAGAGAAAAGAAAATTAAATGAAAGACAGAGAAAAGAAATATAACTGAATAACTCATTACAGAATATCGCCGCCACACCCACTTCTGCCGCCATGCCTTACAAGCGGTTCAAGGTGTCGCCAGGTGAGTTATTATATCTAATTAATATACTAACGCCATGGATCAGTGGAAGTTATTATTGAATAATTGATAAAAAATAGTATATAGATAAAGTCAGATCAAAATGTTGCTAAAAAAGATAAAATCAGAATGTTCATACATGACATAAAATAAAAAGTAAAAAAAAAAAAAAGATAGAATATAACCAAAACGTTAATAAACACACTAAAAAAATACTTACAAATAAGAAAAAAATAAATCCATCAATACTCAAAACAGCCGAAAATCCCCTGTATCCACACTAACTATCCCATCTCCATCTTTTTAACACAGGAGCGAGGTACCGTTTCCGCATCATCAACACGGGCATCCTCAACTGTCCCATCACAGTCCACATCGACGAGCACCAACTTACCGTTATCGCGACAGATGGTAACCCCGTTGTGCCCACGAATGCCTCCTCTGTTGTCGTTTATTCAGGTGAGGGTCGTTTCTGGTGTGTTTGTGTTTTTGTTTCATCGTCTTCGTGAAGTTGTCGTTTTATTTATTTATTCTGGGGGAGGATTGTGTTTTGTTTTTACGCTGTTCATTGTTGGGAAAGGGAGATGTGGCAACTCATGTTGGGTTCTGGAGTGCTCCGATTGGTTCAATCTCCTTTAAGAAAAATAATAATGGGGTGACGAAGGCAGATTTCCATGAAGATAATATAAAGCATTGTATAAAACTATCGAAATTACAAAATATATGTAAGAGGAAATATTATGTATCAGTTGATAAAGAAACAAAAATAGAAGTGGCAAATCAGAGTATTCCAATGTCCACAATTGAGTTGCCAGTTTTTGTTTATTCTGAGAATAAACGCACCTTAAGTTATTAATATCATCTGTATATCTACTGAGATGGATTTCATTTCATGGCATAATCTTTAGTCAGATTCCCTAAATTAATTTCTATTATAATACAAAGGACAAAACTAAACAACATTATATAACATCTCATTTCCTCTTCAACAGGCGAGAGATGGGACGTGATTGTCAAAACCGAAAACACCAAAGTCGGAACCTTCTGGATCAGTTTCATGGGCGGCGTAGACTGCGCCCCGTCCTCTGCCCACCAGTTTGCGCTGTTCGAGTACGAGCAGGTGGGACAGTTCTACAAGACCCCGGCGTACGTGAAGCAGCAGGATGGACAGCAGGAGATCCCGGACAGTGTTCTGCTTCGCCACATGCCCCCCAAGCCCGTGTACACAGAGGCTCCTCCAGCCGGCGTTGTAAGTTGTGTTGCGTATTCGAAGTGTTCTTCCAAGTTCAGAATTGGATTTCATTACTTTTTTTTTTTTTTTTACTTTGAATGTCTTTCTTTTTGTTTGCTTAAAGAACTGGATTATATTACTTTTTTTTTTTTTTTTTTTTACTATGAATGCCTTTCTTTTCGTCTGCTTAAAGAACGATTTCATTACTTTTTTTTTTACTTTGAATGTCTTTCTTTTCGTCTGCTTAAAGAACTGGATTTGATGACTTTTTTACTTAAGTGTCGAGTGTAATCGTCTTATCCAGTTTAAAAATAACTGGATTTATTACTTCTTTACTGGACTGTTTTATGCTAAGGGCAAAAGAAAGAGAAAAATGAAAATCTGCTGACCTCTTGACAACATTCAGCTCAAATGGATTTTACTACATCTCTTCTAGACGTTTCCATGATTATGCCAGAAAATAAGTAAATAAAAAATTGTCATTGAACTTATTGATAGCATTCAACTTAAGATCCCCCTTCTTCTTTCCAGCAAGTGAACAGCATCAACAGCGCATGTTACGATGACCTGATCTGCGTGGCTGGCCTGAGGTCACCGGTGCCAATGCCCGAAGTGCTGAGGACGCCGAGAGCCAACTTCACGTTCTATTTGGCCTTTGAGATGAGACAGATCCACAATGCTCATTTCTACTCTCGTGCCTTCTACAATTTCGAATCAGGTGAATATGTGTGAAGGTCTTTATGTTAACTGCTTCCCGAAAGTAGATGGGATAGAGTTGAGATTTCCGTCGGATGATGAATTAAGTGGATAGACATTCAAGAACATGGTCTTGCACTAATACCTTTGTGACTGCTTCTTGTCACATATAGCTCATGGCACACACACACACACACACACACACACACACACACACACACACACACACACACACACACACACACACACACACACACACACACACAAACACACAATATATATATATTTATAATTATTGAACACATTATCACACTCTTCTTTCGATATAGAAAGCTATATATAAAATATAAACTATATATATATATAATTTGATACATAAACACAGTCTTGTTTCGCCATACAAATCTCCTTGAAGAAAAAACCGTGACACACCTTACTCTCGCTATACAAAACTCCTGGAACACCACCTCACCACACCGTCCCTTCTTCATCTTCAGCGGACGAGGACCAGCAGATCCCAACGCCACAAGTTAACAACCTCTCCTTCGTCGGACCGTCCACGCCCCTGCTGCTGAGTGGCGGCCGCTACGACACCCGTGTTTGCTCGCTCGAAAATCCGATTCCCGGACGAAGCTGCCACGACGACTACTGCGAGTGTCTTCATATGTATCACGTGCCCTTGGGAGCCACTGTGGAGATGGTGTTCATAGACGAAGGTAAAAGCGGCCTTCTTCGGGTGTCTCCTTGGATATATGAAACATAATTTGATTTGTTTTTAATGTTTTAAAATTTGGATTCCACAATGTATTCGTCGGCAATGTCCTTAGTTGTTGACGCGGGAGATAATTTTGAATTCGGAGAATATCCTCAGAGATATGTTTGTCTTTTTTGTGCTCTGGTTGAATTGGGTCTTTGGGTCTTGTATTTATTATATACGTGGTTTTACGTGGCTTAAGAGCTTGAAAAGGGGAAAAAATATCTGGTTCATGGGTTTAGACACAAGGTAAAAAAAAAAAAAACTTTGTAACGTGTGTACGCATCCCCCCCCCTTTTTTTCACTGTGGTTATGTTTTATCTCCTTTTTCCAATTATTTTTTACACCTCAAATTCCTTCCCAATATCAAAACAAGCATCTTCATTCCACACATAGAATGCCGTCTCGTGGATCCCTACGAATGAGTACAGGTTAATGGCACCGTTAAAATAACACTTTCCTTCCAGGCCAACACGGTGACGAGAACCATCCCATTCACTTACACGGACACCACTTCTGGGTGGTTGGCATGGACCGCCCTAACGACGTGGTTGGGGCAGCCATTACGAGGGACGAGGTAAGGCCTCAAGTGTGAAATGCCTTTTTTTTAGATTTAGATTTAGAGCATTTTTAGATATCTGGATTATCTCCTTTAAGAAAATGTCTTGGTTTAAAAAAATATATCTGTTATTTCTGCTGGCTAAAATATACGTCTGTTATTTCTACTGGTTAAAATATCTAATATACCTACTGGCTAAAATATTTATCTGTTACTTCTACTGGGTAAAATATCTAATATACCTACTGGCTAAAATATTTATCTGTTATTTCTACTGGTTAAAATATCTAATATATCTACTGGCTAAAATATTTATCTGTTATTTCTACTGGGTACTACTGGCTAAAATATCTAATATACCTACTGGCTAAAATATATATCTGTTATTTCTACTGGGTAAAATATCTAATATACCTACTGGCTAAAATATATATCTGTCATTTCTACTGTGTAAAATATCTAATATATCTACTGGCTAAAAACGTGTTATTTCCACAGGTCATTAATTTGGACAGGTCAGGACAGTTAATGAGAAACTTCTACCACCCAGTGCGAAAGGACACAGTTACTATCCCTGATGGAGGCTATACCGTTGTTCGATTCATTGCAGATAATCCAGGTGAGACGCTTATGAAAACGTTGTGAATTATGTAGGCAAAGTTGTGTCTCTTTCCTCCTCTCCTCCCTTTCATTGTCTGTCTCTTTCTAGCTAATTATGTCTGTCTGTCTCTCACTCTCTCGCTTTAGGAATTTATCCAGGAAAATTCTCGGATTTCCTCAGTGACCATGCAGGTTTTAATTTTGTTTTACTCTCATTGTAATGTATTAGTTTAGCTTTCAGTGCAGTCACAGTCGATATGAACAGATCATGGCGAACCTGAAACTCCTCTCAGTGTAAGAAATTTATTCCAGGATGTGGTAATAACATCTCGTTTTACTGAACATTTCTTTTAAAAATTATTAAATCTTTGGATCACTTGCTGTAGTCCTAGATCCGCGTATCAGATTGCATATGCCAGATGCATTGATGACAATTTTAGAGGAAAGTGTGGATAAAATACTGGGTAACGATTTTTATAATGTGAAAACAAAAATGTAATGTTTCCATCATCACACATTCAAAATATAGGTTCTTTGTTATACTACATACCATATTTCAGCATCGAGGGACACATTTGTACCGTAGAAAAAATGTTTTAAATAACACGTAGGAACCCTGTCATGGCGAAAAAAAAAACTAGCGAAAGGAAAATATTAAACAACATAGTAACAACCCGTTTTACAATCATTGCAGCGACATATTACTTCCCTCGTAACACAAGACACTAGTTAAAAATCGATCACACGCCTAGTTTACGAGCACCAGACATACTTATAACCAACAACCATCTCTCGCAACAAGCAGTTTCCAGTGCCTCTACAGCCTTTGAAAGCCTCACGGAGTTCCCTTACATAGGCAGCGACCTCAAGTAACTTTAGCCTCGCGGTTGAGGTCAGATCGGCGAAAGCAGACGGAGGCACGTCGGCTTGTGGTCACAGATTCGTTAATTACTGGCTGAAAATTGAGTCTGGAGAGAAACGATTTGATACTAAATCCGTTTTTGTCTATATTTCTTCAATGGTTGACTATGTCTCTCTTTGATTGGGTGTTAAGGACAGTTTATCATGGACGGTTAGATCGTAGAGAGCGTCAATACTTATGCATGGTTTGTAAAGCATTATGAAAGGCGTTTATTAAAACAAGCAAGCAAGAACTACGTAACCACTTGACCAGAATATCTCTTGGTTGTGATCCCCCTGGTGTAGAGCTTGCAAAAAAAATCACCCAACTCTTTATCTTTGAAGGTTTGAATATCTTCCAGGTATTGATTACGTCTTATCTTGCTTTGTCATTGTACCTTTGTCATTCTGTATGCTTCGAACGCTTGCTTTATGAATCAGAGCAAACATACCATCATTTGCAGGTACATATCCATGAAGTAAATATACCAATCTATTCTAATATTCTTTCCCTTTGACCAACATCTAAAGTATAACAATATCTGACGTTTCTTTCCCAACTCCACAGGGTACTGGTTAATGCACTGTCACCTCATTTTCCACTCTGCGGCCGGAATGGAAGTGGTTTTCAAGGTCGGGGAAGTGACCGACATCCCTCCGTCTCCACCTGGCTTCCCTTCCTGCGGGAACTTCAAATACCATGGCCTCTGAACACTCGCGGGAACTTCAAATACCATGGCCTCTGAACACTCGCGAGAACTTCAATTTCTTGACCTCTGAACATTCGCGAGAATTTCAATTTCTTGACCTCTAAACACTCGCGTGAACTTCACTCTGACCTCTGAACATTCGCGAGAACTTCAATTTCTTGACCTCTAAACACTCGCGTGAACTTCACTCTGACCTCTGAACACTCTCGAGAACTTCAAAATCCCTTGACCTTTGAACACTCTCGTGAACTTCACTCTGTTCTCCTACACGCCCAACACCCACGAACTCGAAAGGGTTTTTTCCCTAATCTGCTGTGGGTATTTGATCTCTTTGACCTGATCCTCGGGGTGGATAGACAGATTTTTTTTAACATTCCAATCTATTGGTACTGGACCCTTGATCACCTCTGGAGGGTGGTCTGTGATAATTCCAAGAAGATATTTCGAGACTATTTTTTTCTTTATGGCATTACCTGAAGACAGATAGTTTATTTAGTGTATGATTCGTTCCTTGATGTTATTTTGAGTCGATTGTGTCTGTATATAGTACTGATGATTCTGTTAAATATAAAATATTGTCAGTATTCGGAGTGTTCTTATGGACTTTTCAATAAGCTTATATTCAAGATGGAATTATGAAAAAAATATTGTACAGTGTCTTTTTTGGGGCCACCGGCCTATAAGAGTCTCTCTTCCTACAGGAAATGCTTGTGAAAATGAAACAGTCATGTGGTTAAGATAGTGATTTATTTTACAGTGAAACTCTAATCGAACTTAAATTACCAATGATAAAGAAACAAACTGACCCACAAAAACTAACCATTCCTGGAAAAATAATAATTCGATGAAAAAACATGGAAACGAAAATATGATTCCTGAAAAGAGAAAAAAAAAATCGATGCCAGAATATGAAAACGGAAAATATGATTCCTGAAAGAGAGAAAAAAACATTCGATGCCAGAAAATGAAAATTAAAATATGATTATCGAATAGCCTTTAGTGATTAAGAATTGGCATCGTGAACAAACGTTTCTAGGTAATAAGTAATAGAGTGGCTGGAGAAGACTCGGAATCTGTAAATTTCGTGTTGATATTAGTCAGATCTTTTTACGTGTGTGTATATCTCGCATAATAAAATGACATTTAGGTGCTAAAACCGACTGTTTAAAAGGTGCTCTCTGTAGATGCAATCTCCCAAGAAAACGAGTGGTATGTGGGAGCCTTTTTTAATGTTAACTAAGAGTGATTATGATTTTCTTGTGTTTTAATAAAAGGAAAAAAAATCAACCAAATGTAATTTTACTTTAGATAAGTGTTTCTATCCTTTTGTAAGAGTATGATATGTTGGGGAAACTGCAAAAGCAGTTGTGGGATGAACCAAAGGAATTCTGGTTCTTTAGGCCTACCAAAACGTCGTATACTTTTTTTTGTGAACAAAGACAATGCCACATTATGAGATTATATCGTATGGAGTAAACAACAGGCATATGGGAGTTGAATCAGTGATTTAAAAATTATATCTGGGATTTCAGTCCTGCAGTTTGACCTAATTTCTATAACCCGTCTATCTTTTGTTTTTAGTGCTATATACAATTTTTACAGTTCGTATTTCTTTCAAAAGGCACTTTGCGGTAGTGTTAATAGGCTATTATGTAGTTGATATTGGGGAATGGTCGTCTAAATTATCTACACGAGATTGGTATTCTCGTCACAGTACCTAGCAATATTTGAGCACAATCGGTGACTTAATATTAGAAAGGAAAACATTAAGTATTTACAGCTAGATAAATTCTAAAATGTCATATTCATTATTGGAAAAAATGAAAAGAATTAACTTAGCATACTTTACACGTGCCTTCTTTCTATTTAAAACATTAAACTTAGTTTTACAGTAAATAAAATGAACTCATCAACCTCTTTGGGATACATCAGATATGCTGAGTTGAGTCTCTCCCGGCCTGTGCCGACTTAACGTCATATGGAGCTAACACTATTGAGTTTAATCCTTACGCATAGTAACCTCCAGACGATAGTTAAAACAGCTTACACAATTACTTCTGATCAACTTGTACAAACAGGAAAGCCATGATCCTTCCTGGCTTTATTAATAAGAGTACTGAGGACATCCTTATTTTCCTTCCTGGCTTTATTAATATGAGTACTGAGGACATCCTGGCCAGTCGAAGGGACTATCAAAGATTGTAGTATTGACTTATGAGGTATTCCAGTTCTTATGATAGGCCTACGGTTTATATGAAAATATTATATCCTTGTCTTGAGGTTACCTTTACGAAATATTTTGGCTTAATCGAAATAGTTTCACTACTCATATTTTGTTGGTATTCCAGTAACAGTAATACAATAAAAGAAAGTTAGGTGATAAATTTGGATAAAAAACTATTTCAAGAATACTGCAGGCTTTAGAAATATCAACCGGTTGTAAACGAAAATATGACGTGTCAGCTGATAAGAATAGAAGAGACTTGGCAAATTACAGTACTCCAGAGTCCGGTGTCCAATTTCTTTCCTGAAATTGGAAATACAATAGTCTTCTTCCTCTTGGTCATTTTCTCAAGTCTAAAATTCCTTCTTTGCAGTCAGATGTTATAGAAGGTACTTGTTTTTGTAAATCCTGCTTCTTTATATATATATTTTTTAACCATTTGCCTCTGTATGTTATATAACATACTATATATAACATATTATATATATGTATGTTATATATGTCTGCATTGTTATATAACACCCGATAATTCAAACAAAATCTCCAATAAGTTTGTAAAATTGTTGATGTTGCATGTACTTCTTAATGAACATTTCATTTCTTCGAGTGTAGATAAGAAGCAAAACTGCTGATCTATTATAAGGATTTTCCCTCTCCAATTCTTTGGCTATGTATTTATTTATTTATACTTCTAATTCACGAAATGCAGTAGACGTGATAACACACACACACACACACACACACACACACACACACACACACACACACACACACACACATATATTATATATATATATATATATATATATATATATATATATATATATATATATATATATATATATATATAAACATTTTGATGGCATCATGCTTACCAGCCAAAGGACAGGCGGTTGAAATAATTAAACAAGGCTACATTACTTTTGTACAGATTTCTATAGAGTAGATAAGCATCTTAATAACTCCCACTATTGCTGTTTGTAGTGGTTTGATTACTAGGCCTTGAGTTAGTTATCTTAGCCACATTTTGTGTCGATACTAATTTAACTGTTTGAGTGTGAGCAAATTATTCGTTTTAATGGGTTTAAGAAATAGTATCTTTGAATTTTTCCTGCGCAAATATTTTTGTGAGGTTAGTTCAAGGTTTGGCATATGTGTATATTAGGATGTATTGTGATAGAGTTAGCACCAGATAAAAAATGAGGTCATAACGGCTATTTTTTAAAACTGTTCTAGCAGGAAATATGTTAGACCACAATAGTAAGCTACAATTGGACCATTAGATATTAATAATCTGTTCAAGTATGACTCGGAGTGTAGTTAAACAATTCTCTAAGGACGAAATGAATCATCAGTTATGTGCTTAAGTAATTGTATACATTCATAGATACATATATTGTTTTATACGTGGGTAGATACATGCATACATAGGAACATAATACGTATTTGCAGGGGGGAAAAAACTATTTACCTATTGCACAAGTATTTATCTATTCCCTAAGGCTTTAATATTTACTTCGCTTGAAAACCAGTGTTGGGATAATTCCCTGAATGTCCGTAACTAACATTTTGTTTTCACTTCTATGGAGCGACTGATAAAAAAAAAAAAAAAAAAAAAAAATCAAATAACCATTACATTACATTGTCTCGAATGTTTCTTTCTTCGTTGCAACATTTTTATTCAGCATTTTCCTCCTATAATCCTGAATCATCGGTATTTCTTTGCGACACAAGGCCATGCGACGGTAAATACGTTGTCAGGCTTTGTTGGTGAAATTACCTTTCTCTCTCTCTCTCTCTCTCTCTCTCTCTCTCTCTCTCTCTCTCTCTCTCTCTCTCTCTCTCTCTCTCTCTCTCTCTCTCTCTCTCTCTCTTTTAACTCGATTGCAGTAATCAAGCTACGTGATTCTGTCGTCAACGTCCGTCTTAGTATTGGACAATCCGATTGCTTTTATTCGGACTTAACACGGATGTTGCCCGTTCTTCAGGAATAGGTGATAACTGTCCATTGCTGTCTATATTTTTGAGAAAGCTAGTATCCTTGTTGTATTGTGCTGCACGTATAAAAGCCTTACAGTATGATATGTATTTTTCCATAATCGGTTTATTTGGACAAATTTACTTCGGGGGAAAAAGTGGGAAGACTTTTGATACAAAGATCATTGAAAAAAAAGGTGGATAGCACCCATTCACCTAACTTTACCATTTCAAATATCTTTGTCGTGTTGCTATTTATATTTTGGGCAAAATACTATAAATTTGAAAATCGTCCATGATGCTGCATCAGTTAACCATTTTCTATATACACAACCACCGTTGCAGCTATAACAGAGGCAGGGATGGCAAAAAATAGGACAAATGAAGTAACTCAGTAAGCAGTAAAAATCGGTTGAATATTCGTGCACAAGAGACAGACAGACTGTTTGATACAGACTGACAGACAGAATGAATAAAATACACATAATGAATGATTAATAAGATTCCATAAATAAAGCTAAACTTATAGTTCATACAAATTTACATCAAAGTCGGTTTTAGTTTATGGTAGAAAACGGGAAATTAGAGCAGAGTATAGATTTCAGGGGAGACTCAATTTCGTCAAAATACAAAGCTACAAAGAACTTATTAAAAAGAAAATATATAGCGATGGAGGGAGGAACCAAGGAGATCAGTGGTTTGTTGGTATGAAAATAGTGACATATGGGAATCTCTATGCATGCATTACACCATTTAAGTAGAAATGGTGTATATTAACTTATATATTAATTTTATCATTATGCTGTTTATCTGCTCTCTATCCATTTCTTCTTAGTACTTATATTCGTCGCGTTATTTCTACTATTTTTCTCTTTGTAAGAAGATCTCTTTGTGTTGTAAAGTGGTGTTCTTTGGGGGTGGAAGGTTAGCACCAACAAGCAACAAGTGTATTGTAGCTTAATCCAATTCAATTTCATTTCATTACCTTCGCTATGCAAAAATGAAAATGTTGAGCAATGTAGTATTAAATATTGCATATTTTCTTGTCTGCATGGTAGGTAATTCACATTTCGTATCATATGTAAATCTGTGTTTTTTTGTTTTTTTTTCATACGGATCTCTCTCTCTCTCTCTCTCTCTCTCTCTCTCTCTCTCTCTCTCTCTCTCTCTCTATATATATATATATATATATATATATATATATATATATATATATATATATATATATATATATATATCTCCTTAGATGCCCATCCAGCTTTCCTTTTTCTTGTCCATATGTCGTGGGTCATGGTTTATAGACTTTTTTTTTAAGATTTGTTATTTTTTAAATTTGCTATCTCATTCCCTCCATTGTTATTGTGTGATGTAGTATTTTCCTTTACTTTTTGATACATACCGTTGTTCGTGTTTCTACACACACACACACACACACACACACACACACACACACACACACACACACACACACACACACACACACACACACACACACACACACACACACACATAATACTAGGTTTTTGAGTTATTACTTCAATTGCAGATTTAGAGGTTGAAAGTATTATTGATATCCTTAATCTATCGTTTTCATATACCTTGCGTTGTTGAATTTTATGAGCATCATGGGAAGTTATTTTTATTTTTATTATCTTTGCATATTTCTCTACACCTTAAATACAAGCTGTTGTAGAGAAATATATTTTCCCTATCCTCTTTATTTTCCAGAGAGAGAGAGGGGGAGAGGGAGAGGAAGAGAAAGAGAGAGAGAGGGAGAGAGGGAGAGAGGGAGAGAGGGAGAGAGAGAGGGAGAGAGAGAGAGGAGAGAGAGAGAGGAGAGAGAGAGAGAGAGAGAGAGAGAGAGAGAGAGAGAGAGAGAGAGAGAGAGAGAGAGAGAGAGAGAGAGAGAGAGGAGAGAGAAGAGGAGAGAAGAGAGAGAGAGAGAGACAGAAAAACAGGAACTGAGATAGACAGACAAAGGAATAAAAAAAAGTTGGCAATATGAATTGAATCAGAAAAAAATATATCTTCGAGGTTCAAAATTCGTTATGAAATTCAACTCCCCGTATCGAATTTCCATGAAAATT